GAAACCGGACCGATGCACCAAGCTTTAAATCCAGTATCCTCTCGATATGCCTTTACACATTCTGTTTCCAATTCCTCAAAATAATGAAGTAGCACTCCACATACTCCTGACTCAGAAGCTTTCACTGTTTGGCAGAAAGCTGTCAAATCTTTATTGGAACCTGGATTGAAAGATGCAGGCAACTGAGCTTTTGTGAATTCAATTCGATCAGGAAATACTGGTATCACAAAAGGCTCTGAGTAAGACAAATGCTCGTAGACCTTGGACTAGTGCAAATTGTGAGAGCATATATGATTGAAGCGGCTCCTCCCATCAAATAATATCCTTGGAATCTGGAATTTGGAGGCAGTAGCAGCTGCCCAAGGAATATTTTTATCTGTCACGATGCAACTTGGAAAGGGTTCATCTCTAGAAATGATTGCTCAAGGGGTTCTTGCAAGTTGCAACATGCTTTATGCTGTCGAGAATTTGCCTACCAAGTTGAGTGAGGGTAGGTTGTCAATGCTTTCAGAGCGGTTGGGCAATCGAACCTCAGTTTTGGGAAATTGAAGTTGTAAGAAATGGATAGGTAATCCTGATTTAGTGGCGCGGTTGATGATGGAACCAAATCGAATGGCGTTTACCAGGGTTATAACGGTGGTGACAGCCACGTTCCGCTCTCCCAATAATCTAGTTATAAGTTCAAAATTTTCAAGCAGAAATAAATTTCATAACGAAAGCAACACGAAATAAATTATATGAAAAAGTAATATTTAATATAATTTGATCTAATTATTTATATTTACGGACGAGAGAAAAAATCTACTATAACTATAAATATTATAAAATATATAAAACACTATGAACCCTAAAACAATCTTAATTTTATTTTTTTAAATTTTAATTTATGAAATATCTTTTATCCTATGCAATGGATATTTCTCAAACAATTTTTTTTTTCACATCTTTATAAACTTATTTCTCATACCATGATCACATAAGAATTATAACTCTCTCTCTTCATACTTTTAAATGTTAATATTTATTTATATTTATAAAACTTCATTATTTAATCACGAAAAATTCTTATTTATTAAGAACTTTTACTCATTAAGTATATTTATTTTTAAATAAATTTAATTATCAAGTAATTCTTTAACTAATGTAACTTCACTAAAATTCAAACTGATTCTCAATCAGAATTTGAGTCAATATCTAATTATCTGCATATTAACACAAATTCTATCACAACAATGACTTTCAAAAAATCTTGACTACACATGATCAATTCAATACTGACTCTATCTAATTTACACAAAACGGTCAATACTCATGTGCAACTAAATTAATTTCACTTAGTTAACTTTACTTGCAATTAACTCCTTATTATCAAGCTTAATGGAGAGTTTTTATGCTGGACTCACGGAAAGATATTTTCAACTTAGCTTTGATATAATTTGTTGAGATTTTTTAATCAGAAACAAATTTTATAATGAGATCAATACAAAATAAATTATACATAAAATGTAATATTTAATATGGTTCAATCCAATTGCTTACATCAATTGATGAGAGAGAAAATCCATTATAAACGTAAAGATTAGAAAAAAATATAAAATATCATAAATAAACACTAATCTCAAAACTCTGAAATAATCTTAATTTTATACTTTCTTATGTAATATCTTTTATCTCATGTAATCAGTAAATTTTTCGAACAAACTTTTTTTGTATTTGTAGAAAATCTATCTCCATATAATTAAAGATCACATAATGAATTATAACTTTCTTATAATTTTAAAAGATAATGCTCACTCCATATTTATAAAGTTCTATTACTTGATAACTAAAAATTTTTATTTACTAAACTTTTATTCATTAAAAATATTATCATTAAATAAATTTAATTACCCAATAATTTTTCAACTAATAAATTTTCATTAAAATTTAAATTAATTCTCGAGTAAAATTTAAATTAATATCTATCATTATATTCATTAGGGAATAATATGGCATGAACACGTCAAATGTATGAAAAGGAAAATGAGGTTCATAGCTTCTAGAAGTCATTGCTTTGTGAATTTCTCGGCAGAGTGACAGTGATATTGAGTAATGAGGAATGAGCAATATTTGATTAATTATATAGCAACTAATGCTTATTGATCTTAATAATCATGATTAATGTAGCAATTAACCAATTCGATGTACCATTTTTTATTTGGTGACATGTTTTTGTTGTATTTGTAGTGGTTGTGCCGTAACGTATGAGCCTACACATGCATAAAAATATTTAAACATAAATAAATGTTGCCTCACCGCCCCAGTATCAAGCCAATTGGACGCACTGTATCAGTGTCTTGTCTTGATCTACCAACGCTGTCCTTTTTGGCAAATTCAGTGTTTTATTTATTCATGAAGCCATCCATACGTATAAAGTTGCAAATTTATGGAGCACAGTTATACCTCCCACAAATTACCACGTGGCATATCAGTTTTTTTATTTTGTTTTTTTTTAAATATATAAAAAATATTTTTCTTAAAAATTTTATTTTTATTTATGGGACTTATTTATATCAATTTTTTTTATATCCTTTTTAATTTTTTATAAATATTTTTAAAATTATTAAAAAATATATTTTGTAAAAATTTTATTTTTATATGTGAAATCCAATTATATCAAATTTTCATTTTTACTTTTTGCCCTTTTTAAATTTTTTCTAAATAAATATGTAATAATTTTTTCAACTTATAAAAATATATATATTTTAAAAAATTTTAGTTTTATGTGTGGTATCTATTTAAACATTTTTTTCTTGCTTTCCCTATTTTACCTTTTTAATTTTTTCCTTTTTAGCTCTTTTTTTTTGCTTTTTGTTTTTTTTATTTCTATTTAATTTTTATTTCTCTTTTAAAAATATTTAATATTTTGTAAAAAATTTTTAATTTTGTTTAAAATGGGGCCTATTTGATATGATTACTTAAAAAATATTTTTTTTGTTATTTTTTAAAATTTGATAATTTTTTAAAAATAATCTTAGCAGAAATGTCAATATTATGCTCAAATTTGATTTTTTTTTATCTTTTTGATTTTTAAATTTATAATATAAATTTCAAAAAAAAAACTTGTTATTGCAAATGTCGCATGATAACTCAATTTTTTTTTCATTTTTTTGTCTTTTATTTTTTTCTTTTTTATAACTAAGATCATTTTTTCAAAAAAAATAAAACAAATGCATACGCATGGTACATTTTTATTTTAAAAATTTTTTGTTATTAATAAATTTATTATTTATTACTTTAATTTAAAAAAATTAATATTTTAAATTCAATTGAAATGTTCATATAGTGCACTTATAAACTTCTTTATTTTTTTTTTCAATTTTGGTTTTTTATGCATTTTTTATTAAATTCATTTTGTTAAAAAACAAGATAATGGAGATATCTACATAATGCTCCATTTGTCTTTTTTCCTCTTTCACCTTTTTTTTTAATTAAAAAATTTTATAATAAAATATGTCCATTGATAAAAATGTCAAAAAAAAAAAACATATTTTATAGGTTTTAATCTATCTCAATTTGAAATGGAATATGTTTTTTAAAACGGGATCAAGTTAGGATGGCTTGAGTTTTTTATAAGATAGATATTATGGTTAAAGTGTGTTTAGAATGTTTTATCTTAATTCATTTCAAGATATATATAAAATATATATATTTTATTATTAATTTAATTTAATTTTTATGTATAAGTTATTATATTAATAAAATTATTGTTTAACACTTTAATTAAAAAAATTAATATTTTAAATTCAATTAGGGTGTCCATGTGACACATTTATGAACTATTTTTTTTATTTTTTTACTTTTTACAATTTTTTTTGTTTTAGATTTTTATTTTTTAATTATATATATTTTGTGATAATTTGAGATTAATTTAGATATACACGTATCATCCATATTTAGAGGCTTTTAATTATTATTTTTAATTAGATAATTTTTTAAAAAATAAATATTAAATAGAAATGGTCAAGTTTCGATCATTATATATTTTTAATTAGATACATTTATAATTTTTTATTTTTTAAAAAATAAAATTAATATTTTTATGTAATATATTTAAATATATTAAAAATTATATTAAAGTAAAATATAAAAACTAAAAAAATTAAATTTCAAAAATTAATAAATTCAATTTGAATTAGATCAAGTCAATTCAGATTAAAATCAAATTTTTAAAATTCATAATACTAAAAATTATTCAAAAAATTACATCAAATTTGATCCAATCTTATTATCTTTATATAAAAGCATATATTTTATTATTAATTTTATTTTATATATTATATTAATAAAATTGTTATTTAATATATTAATTTAAAAAATTAATATTTTAAGCTCGGGTGTCTCATTAACACCTTCTTATTTTTTATTTTTTAGATTTTCTCTTTTTTGCCCTTTTCATTTTTTTTATTTTTGTTTTTGTAATTAGATAAAATTTGTAAAAAGAAGAAAGCAATTGAAATATTTTTGTATTATTTTCTTTTAATTTTTTAATTTTTAAGTTTTTTAATTAAGTAAAATTTTTTATAAAAAAATTTATATAAAAAAAAAACAAAATAAAAAAATTTTTAACTCGCAACAAAGTGTGGTAACATACTCATATATTTTATTTATTCAAGAAACCTGGAAAAATAACCTCTCCCAATATAAATACTACACAATTGTAATTTTGTCCTCGGTCGGTTGAAAATGACGGTCAGTGGGGCCGGGAATCTGAATACAAATTTGAGTTTGCATCCGTAAGCACGTGTAGTTTTTTCTAAGCTTGGACCACTTCTCAATGCCATTATTATAGATTTAATAACAATAAATTTGCACTCTTTCAAACTGCAAGTTAAATCGTTGGTTGGTATATCTCTTTACAAGAAAGTCAGGTGCCGGTATAATAATAATAATAATAATAATAATAATACAAAGGAAATATCAAGATGGAACTTTAAAATGGAAATAGAAATAGAAAAAATAGCTTAACTGTACTTGTAATTAATAATTTATTTTTCCAGTTTGATCTCCTTTATTGGCATGTCATCATATTCCCCAACATTATTTTTGAACAAATTATAGTAAATAATATATATATTTTTTGTTTTTTGGACTACCACCAGAATTCGAATTCCAAATTCCAAAAATTCTGAATTTATATTTTATTATCACTGAACTATAAGCTCACCTAAAAAAAAAAAACTTAAAAATACCAGTGAATATCCCTTTTTGTCTCTCATGCTAAAGCTGGACTAGTGGCGGTGGCTTGTAGCATGATATCTTCAATTAGTAGTGTGATGTTAAGGTAAGAGGACCCTCCTTCTTCAACTGCTTTCTTTGCCATCTTTGCAAGCTCTCTTGCCCTTTTTCTTCTCTCTTCTCCTTCCTCTCCTTCATCCATTAAACTCTCCACTGCCTTCTTAACATCCTCCCTCTTCACCAGCACCGCAGATTCTTCCTCTCCCATCTGCACCGAAACTGCTACCCCTACCCGAACACCAACTTTCAGTATTTGTACTAGTAGCTTCTCATTCATAAATTGGTCGGCGAACATAGGCCATGTTAACATTGGCACACCAGCAGAAATCCCTTCAAGTGTTGAATTCCAGCCACAGTGTGTCAAAAATCCTCCAATGGAAGGGTGCGATAAAATTAGAACTTGTGGCGCCCAGCCCCTTATCAAGAGGCCTCGTCCCTTTAGCCGCTCCTCAAATCCATCTTCTGCTAACCATTTCTCCATTTCTTCTTTCTTATTAGCCCCTCTAATAACCCAAATGAATGGTCTGTTTGATGCTTCCAAGGCTAAACCAAGTTCAATTAACTGTGGAGGTGTTAGGCGATTGAGGCTTCCAAAGCAAACATAGATTACAGAGCTTCTAGGCCATGAATCCAGCCACTTCAAGCATTGATTTTCATCAGTTAAAGCCTCGTTACCCCTCTGAGCTTTATCGAAGTTTTCCTTGTTGCATAGTGAGACAGGACCAACGCACCACAGCTTTTGTTTCCTAACCTTTTGATATGATTCTACATATTCTGCTTCCAACTCCTCAAAACTGTTTACTATCAACCCATTCGCTCCTTTTTCTACCTCCATCATCTTCTTAATAAGTTCGTTCATGTTTGATGATGATCCAGGATTGAGATTTCCCGGTAGCTGGGCTGCTGTGAATTCAATTCTATCATTCAGTCCTGGCACGACAAAAGCTTCTCCTTCGGATATGCATTCATGGACCTTGGAAGTGGTTAAATTATGATAGCACAAGAGAAAGAAGCAGTTTTTTCCATCAAACGAAAACCTTGGAATCTGAAACTTCGAAGCAATTTCAGCTATCCATGTGAAATTCCGGTCATATATAATGCAGCTTGGCTGAGGCTTTAGCTCTTCAAACATCTTCTCTACCGGTTGCTGCAGCCAGCTTACAGCAGCGTAGAAGTTGCTCCTCAGGTGCATGGAAGGGAGACTGTCAAATGTTTCACACCCCTCTGGCAAACCAACCTCTGCAGCAGGAAAGCGAACCTGTAGAACACGGAAAGCTAGACCAGACTCAATGGCACGCTTGATGGAAGTGCTACAGCGGGCAGCATTCTGAGGTGTGGTAATTATAGTAACAATTACATTACGTTCTGCCAATAACCTGGCTATGTCTATCATGGGGATAAGGTGCCCCTGGCACATAAAAGGCATCAACACAAAATGAGGCTGAGATGAGTTTAAGGCCATTGTAATATAATTTGGGTGTTTAAGCTTCAAGGACAACCAACCAAACGAATATGAACGAATTGGAATATGGTGTTTGTTTTTATGGTTCTTTCATTAGTTATATCGGGTGTGGCTATTTATACATGCTGCAATGGTTCTCGTATTACGTAAGGATACACGTATGCATATGGACTATAGAGTATGAATAGATTTTAGAACTAATGACTGATTGCAGTTTAATTTTGACTTCCATTCTCTCTAGAACTTTCAGCTTATGTAGCTTCTAAAATTCAGAATTAAGTTTGACTAATGCACATTGCTTTTATGTTGTGACAGCATCCAAATGTAATTAACATGACAAGAAGTAAACCAAAAAAGGTGGCTAGGACAGAAGAATCCAAAAACAACAACATAATAATGTAGTTGTAGTAGGTAGACTCTGTCGTCGGATAAGAAACTATGAGAGGTTTATCTATAATCTGTAAAGATTGAAAAATGAATATTACAAGACACATGCATGTATCGATTGATGATTTGATGTTTCCTAGCGCAGCCAACATTAGTGACCGTGTCAACATCCCATATGCTTGTGGCCCAAGGCAGAAAAACTACCAAAAGATGTCAACATTCCCATGCCATTGGTGTTGACACTGGAGACAAATTCGAGCCATAATTCAACGGTTGGCAACTACAGCCGGTTGAAAATTATACGGGTTAACATTGTTATGCTTAATTTTTTGCTGTACGGTTCCTGGTAGTTTCTGCCACTACTAGAGAGGATATTTGTAACACTTCTCAAAGTTATCAATCAAGAATGCTTTTGACCCTTATTAAATTTTCATGAATTGAGTAGTTGAACAGCATGGAAAGTCTCTTGTAATTAGAATATCTGGATAAACATGGGGATTTGGAATTAATTTGATCTTTTAAATTTTATAGTCTTTTTTTTCATGGGCGCCCCTGTGGAACGGAAATGATGACGAATATAAAACTATTAAACGTTGTTTAGAGTTAGTGGATGTAGTAAGAAATAAATTATCTCATGGGGCTAATTTCCAGAGGACAATTACATTGAAAAAAAAAATGACAATGACTGCCATATGCTTGCAGCTGTTTCGTTTTTCGTTTTTTAGGGAGATGCTATATTTCAATTAATCTGGGTTCAAATAATGCAAAATATGAAGTTGCCTGATGTAGATATTTTGCAACCTGCATTTCATAAGCTAAACTCTATCAGGCCTCTGTTTATCTCTGTGACTAGCAGATTAACATTGAGATAAGATGATTCCCAGGTTCTGAATTGCCGCCTTTGCCAACTCCACAAATTCCTTTATCTCTTCTCCATCTCCTGCATGATCAATTACCAAATCTATAGCCTTCATTATTTCTTTTAACTATTTTTTTTAAAATGCTCAGTGTGAATTTGATACTATTCCCAAAGTAACAGCCATTAAATTCATTTCAGTTGATACATTCCAGTCCTGAGAGTCTGCATCTAATCCTCTTCTAAGTCTGGCTTAACATTCTGCTTATCCAGTTCTCATCCATTGACTATTGAATGCGAAACTTGATAAATCTGGATGGTCAAATGTATTAGCATTTAGTAACACAGATATTATCCTTTCATAAATGAAGATGAGAATTTTTATTGTTTGAATAATGACAAACTCTACAGGAGCTTGCACATGCAGACAAACTCAAATTCGTATATGATTCATTCGGTACAAGTTTTACTAAGCATAGTGGACCTTCTAAGTTCCAAATGCCAATTATAAAACGAATTCATAAATTTAAGAAGGCAAATACATAGGAAAGCTAGTGGCCTTCATCTCCTGGTTGTATAACAGTACAAACTTAGAACTTCTTTCCCCCTTCTATTAAATGGACAAACCAAGGTTGAACAAAAAAATGGGGGTAAAAAAGAAAAAGAAAGAAATAGCACAACAGCACAATCATATCTCCTTTATTGCTAAACAATAAGATTTTCCATCATTATTAATGAACAAATTACTAATGAGTTTGAAATTGCTGGTCTCAAGCTATATGTGGATTAGTTATGGCTTGTTGCTTGAAATCTTCAATCAGGAGTGTAATTTTGCGGTAAGAAGACCCTCCTTCTTCAACTGTTGTCTTTGCCATCTCGGCAAGATTTCTTGCCCTTTTCCTTCTCTCTTCTCCTTCCTCTCCTTCATCCATTAAACTCTCAATAGCCTTCTGAACATCTTCTCTCTTCACCAGCACCCCGGATTTATCTTCCTCCCCCATATGCACCACAACTTCTACTCCCACCCGAACACCAACTTTCAATATTTGAACAAGCTGCTTCTCATTAAAGAATTGCTCAGCAAACAAAGGCCATGTTATCATTGGCACCCCGGCACAAATCCCTTCTAGTGTTGAATTCCAACCACAGTGTGTCAAAAATCCTCCAATTGATGGGTGCGACAGAATTAACACTTGCGGTGCCCAGCCCCTTATCAAAAGGCCTCTTCCTTTTACCCTCTCCTCAAATCCGTCTTCTGCTAACCATTTTTCCATTTCTTCTCTTTTATATCCTCCTCTAATAACCCAAATGAATGGTTTGTTTGATGCTTCCAACGCTAAACCAAGTTCGATTAACTGAGGAGGTGTTAGACGATTGAGGCTTCCAAAGCAAACATAGATTACAGAGCTTGCTGGCCATGAATCAAGCCACTTCAAGCATTGATTTTCATCAGTTAAGGTCTTGTTACCCCTTGTAGCTTTGTCCATGTTATCCTTATTGCATAATGACACTGGTCCAACACACCACACCTTTTGTTTTTTAATATTTTGATATGATTCTACATATTCAGCTTCCAACTCCTCAAAACTGTTGACTATTAACCCGTACGCTCCTTCTTCTGCTGCTATAATCTTTTTACTAATCTCTTTCACGTTTGATCGAGGATTTAGGTTTCCAGGTAGCTGCCCTGGTGTGAATTCAATTCTATCAGAAAGTCCTGGCACCACAAAAGACTCTCCTTCGGAGACACATTCATTGACCTTGGAAGTGCTTATATTGTGACTGCAAAAGAGAGCGAAACAGCTTTTTCCATCAAATAAAATCCTTGGAATCTGAAGCTTGGAGGCAATTTCAGCCATCCATGTAAATTGCTTATCATGTATTATGCAGTTTGGACGGGGCTTTAGCGCTCCTAATAGCTTCTCCACTGGTTGCTGCAGCATGCTCATTGCAGTGTAGAAGTTGCTCATCAGGTGCATAGAAGGGAGATTGTCTACTGTTTCACACCCCTCTGGTAAACCAACCTCTGCAGCTGGGAAGGGAAGCTCTAGAACTGAGATCGCTAGCCCAGATTCAATGCCACGATTGATGCCTGCGCTAAAACGGGCAGCATTCTGAGGTGTGGTAATTATAGTAACAATCACATTACGCTCAGCCAATAGCCTGCCTATGTCTATTAGGGGAATAAGGTGCCCATGGCACATAAAAGGTATCAACACGAAATGAGGTTTGGTAGGGTTTAACGCCATTGCTAAATGGAGGTTTTAAGCTAGACCGAAATCAAACGAATATGAATTTGGAATATGGTTTTTGCTTTTATGGTTCTTTCATTACCTAGATTTTGTTGTTATTTATACATGCTTTAATGGTTCTAGACTTACAGAGTTATGTTAGGGTATACATGCGTAATGGAACTAATTATGACTGATTCCTGAATGGCAACCGAGTCTAATTTTAACTTTCATTCTCCTCTAGCTTTTCAACGTAACTTTAAAGTTTGATACACGTCAAATTGGATGTCGATTGAAGATATTCAGTCTGACAGATGCTTCATCACTGAGAAAATGGAGCCGGTTGAAAAGTATAATGGTCAATATAATTCTGCTAACATTTTGAATAACTGAAAAGATTAGAGAATGAATTGAACACCCTTTTAGAACTGCCGTACACTTCCAGGTATTTTCTGCTAAATCTAAAGAACATGGTTCTGACTTTTCTAAAACTTATCACAAATGCTTTTGACATTTGTTAGAATTTTCTTGAATGCAGCAGTGGAACTACACAGAAAGGTCTTGGGGTCTAGGTGAACCAGGAGAATTGGAGTACTTTATCTATTTTGGGCTATACTAAACTATATTTCTGCATTATTAGCAGAGATATTAAGGACGTCGTTTATCCTTGATGGGGCTAATTGACATAGGAAAATTATATCGAAATAATATTTAGAAAAAAAAAAAGTAAGAATGACCTACCACATGCTGGATTTTCCATCTTGTACAGCTTTTTCTTTCTTTTTTTCGGGGGGTTGGGGAACTTCGATCTGGGTTGCGCAAAGCAAAATAACCAAGTTGCTTGTGTTGGGCTTAAGTGATTAACACAATGACACGAAACAATATGTCATGATAAATTTACAACAAACAAATACCAATTAATAATTAATAACGTAAAATAAATAAAATATATTAAAATTTATATGAAAAAAAATTTCGGACCATCATAAAATGTTTTAACTGTATACACAAATTTTTTTTCTAATTAAAACTAAGACTAAACGATAATTAGAGATAAGATTAAAAATATCTCATCAAATAAATAATTTAATAAAAATAAATTACATAAAATCATCTTGTAATTAGAGACGGATTGAAATTAAATTTTAAAATTTAAAATATGTCATTTAATACTTTATAATTTATTTTATTATTTTTTTACTTTAAATCATGACTTTTTCCTTAGTGTCAAATCTTTTTTTTTCTCCAACAATTCATTATTTTTTCTTTATCTAAATCCAAAAAACCTTTTTTCTTTTATTCTTATTTCCAGAGAAACATTTTTGCTCTTTCTTTTTTATCTCCATTTAAAACTTCTGCAATTTTTTTTTCTTCAAAAAGATCTATCAAAGATGGTAAATTTATCCCACTTCCATCAATAGCCTTGCCCTCTATCCTCTTTACTCGACCAAAAACATCTAATTGAAACTCTCAACATCAAGAACATACACAGCAGCCAAAATAAATAAATAAATAAATAAAGTACCCACAGCCACCAACAAAAAATGCTAAAAAAGAAAAACAATCCCAAAACTGAAACCATCGAGCCACACAAGCAATCAAAAAGATCAAAAAAGAATAAGAGAGATAAAGTAAATGTCTCTCTTAAAATTTCGGTTTAAGGTGCTTGAGAGGGTTTGGGGACTTAGGATTTGGATAAAAGGAAGGCCAAATGAAAAAAAAAAACATACTAGAAAAATAGATAATTTGGAGCGGCAGAAAAGGAGTTTTGCCAACTTTGAATTTATATCTCGGAAAAATCAAAGAGTTTTAAGGAAAAACGACCTAATTGCCATTTTATAAATTTCAGGGATCATTTTTAAATTTATCTCAAGTCATAAAATAATTTTATATAATTTATCATTTAATAAATACATTTAAGATTTATTTTTAAAAAGCTTTAAATCCGATTTCAACGATCGATCCAAACAATTCAAAATGTAAAACATTGAGTCGTAACGTGTTAACAAAATTTTAACTTAATCATATCACAAATCAATCTCCGTTCAATCTCTTAATCAAAATGGCAGCTCCCTTTCTTCTTCTTTTTCCTCACTTTTGATGACAACTTTTTATTTTTTCTTATCCGGCGCAGCCCTGCATCTCCTTAAAATAAGGCTTCTCCGTTTGTGTAAAACAAAACGCCATGACCTCTAATTGGTCAAAAAAGAATGGGGCTGGACCCCACATCATAACAGCTTGATATGGATGTAAACTTTCATCGACAAATTCCGTTATGCCTCTGCTTTCCGCCCACCGATTTATTTGCATGATATCTTTGATTAGCCGACATTGAGATAAGAGGATCCCTTGTTTTCAAATGCCTTCTTTGCCAACACCCCAAGCCCCACTGCTCTCTTCCTCCCTTCGTTTCCTTCTTCTCGTGCATTGATTACCAAATCTATAGCCTTCATAATCTGTTCTTTCTTCACCATCACCCCATACTTTTCTTCCTCTCCCACTCTTTATCCAATTCTCAAAACTTGCACCACAAGTTTTTCGTTGAAAAACTGATCAGCCAACAAAGGCCATGTTATCATTGGCAAACCGGCACATAATCCTTCTAGCACTGAATTCCAACCGCAATGTGTCACTAGCCCGCCTATTGCTGTATGAGATAATATGGAAAGTTGCTCTGTCCAGCCCTGGCTTAAAAGGCCTCTTCCTTTGGTTCTCTCCTCAAATTCTTCTTCAGACAACCATCTCTTGAACTGATCAGATTTATATCCTTCTCTTATAACCCATATGAACGGCCTACTTGATGCTTCTAAGCACATGGCCAATTCAATTAGTTGCATAGGTGAACACAACTTAGTGTTCCAAGGCAAGCATACACTTCTGAGTTCCGTGGCCTTGAATCAACCCACAGCATGCACTGGGTTACGTCAGCTGAGGCTTTGTTTCCTCTAGCCATATCGAATTTGCTCTTGTTACAAAATGACCTTTGGCCTTTCTATATACTTCAATGTATCCTGATTCCAATTCTTCAAAAGAATTAACCACCAAACCGTATGATGACATGTCTGCTACTCGTGTTCTTCCTTTTCTTTTAAAAGTACTCGTCCAGGATTGAAGTCAACAGGCAGTTGAGTTTTAGTTAGTTCTACCAAACTGGTAAACCCGGCCCTACGAGGGACTCCAGATCATCAGAGACCTTCTCGTGAATCTTTGAAATACCAATAAAATGTGAGCATGTGACAGTGAAACTGCAGGGATTTGAATTTAAGATCTGCTGGATTTGTTACCTCTTAAGGTAATATCATTTAAGGTCCGGTTTTAATTGGTTTTAATTAGCAAAACGTCTGCGACTTTCAATTCTTACTTTTTTAGAGAATAAATTGGTTTCAATTCTTACTTCTGAACAAATATCAAGTTTTTTTTTTTTTTTTCAATGAATATTTTTGTTGGTTTTCACTTCTTTAGTTGATTGGCTGATCAACTTGTGGAGGCTCATGCTGCTATGGCAAGTGCAGAATTAGTATTAGGGACTTGGGGTAGTTGACACCAAAAATCAGTTAAGGAACTGATCTAAGTATAGAGAGTTAGGCGGTTGCCTCTACATCATCCTGAAAAATACTTTGGGATTATTGAAAAATTGAACTGTGGCATTCATGTAAAGATTCTTTCAGTTGTCATTTCTTTTGTTTTATTTCCTGATAGACGCTTGAATCCAAATATTAATGAGGTAAGTGGATTCACAAATGACCACATGGGTTGAAAGTTGAAACTGAAACAACCAATTTATTTTCATCCATTCTTCTCTTTTTTGGCATATTGAGATTTTGAAGAGACAAAAACACTGAGTTCTAATATACACTTTGATTATAAGCAAACAACCGAATATATTGCAGATTCACTCAAAATATGTAAACATCAAAAAGGAAATAGTACCTCTCACCCTAAATCTCCTCACCATGTGATTGAGAGGTTGGACCCAAGTCCCAACACATTTTATGAGATTGTTGCCTGATATCTTGGATTAACAGTGTCATATTTAGGTAAGAAGATCCCCCCACTTCAACAGCCTTCTTTGCCTTCTCTCCATACTCTTTAGCTCGTTTTCTTCTATCACTTCCTTCATTTCCTTCATCCATCAATTTTTCCACTGCTTTTTTAATATTTTCCTTCTTCAACATGTACCCAGCCTTCTCTTCTTCTCCTCCCACGGTAGGTTTCTCGACTCCTAGGCTCACACCAATTTTCAGTATTTGTACTACCAATTTCTCATTGCTAAATTGGTCTGCAAAGAGGGGCAATGTTATCAATGGCACACCGGCAGAAATGCCTTCTATTGTTGAATTCCACCCGCAATGAGTTAGGAACCCTCCTATTGCTGGGTGTGACAAAATGAGTACTTGGGGAGCCCAACCCAGAACTACCAGCCCTCTTGCTTTTGTCCTTTCCTCAAATCCATCCTCTTTAATCCACTTCTCTACTTCTTTTGATGTTTCATTTCCTCTTAGGACCCAGATGAATGGCTTGTTCGATGCCTCTAACCCCAAACCCAGCTCTATCAATTGTGGAGGCTTCAGACTACTTATGCTTCCAAGGCAAGCATAAATTACAGAGCTGGGTTCTTGAGAATCAAGCCACTTCATACACTGCTGCTCATTAATTGAAGCCTTGTTACCTCTTTGAGCCTTATCCAGCTCATCTTTGTGGCTAAGAGAAACTGGACCAATAGACCAAGCTTTGTCTTTCCTTACCTTCCGGTACTCTTTGACATACGATGACTCCAACTCTGCAAAAGTATTTATGACAACCCCGTATGATGCTTGGTCGGCTTCTGCCATTGGTTCAAAAATTTCCTTCCACGTTTCATCATAGTTAAGCGGTAACTGAACTTTAGTAAATTCAACCTTGTCAGGCAAGCCTGGCACCGTGAAGTATTCGGAATCAGAGGTTATGCTATCAAGTATCTTTGAGGAGTTTATATTATGCAAACAAAAAAGACAGAAGCAACAAAATCCATGGAAAGAAATCCTTGGAACCTGAAACTTGCTAGCAATTTTGCTGGTATAATACAGGCACATATCTGAAATAATGCAATTGGGGCGTGGTGTTAGCTTCTCAAATAATTTCTGAGCTGCTTCTTCCATCATGTTTGCTGCAATGAAGAATTTGAAGAAGTCCTCCTTTGAAGACAGCATATCTACATTCTCACACCCATCTGGAAATCCTACTTCTTTGCCAGGAAAACGGAGTTGCACTAAACGGATAGGGTGTCCTGATTCAATGGCACGGGCTACAGATTTATGGACTCTGCCTGCATTATGAGGTGTTGTAACTATAGTAACAATTACGTCACGCTGTGCTAGCAGTCTACCAATATCTACCATGGGGATCAAGTGGCCTTGAGCCATGAAAGGGAACAAGACGAAGTGAAGTTGGTCGGATAGGGAACCCATAGCAATACGAATAGAAGGAACAATGAAAGTGAATTGTAAAGAAGGGTGCCAATTTCTGTTATGTAGAGCAAAGTTTCGAGTTCATTTCAGTAAGGTATACTTGGCTGCTGATGTAAGAGCATACATAAGCCTATTGGTTTATTCTGTGGAAAGATGTGCTTGGATTGGAGGACTAGAACTATGTGGACTGTTGGGCAGTGACAGTAGTACCATTTTTGTCCGTCTCAAGTAAAGTCTATTTCAGTACGTGTCTGCGCAGTGACCCTGATTAATTCACTGGTATTTGTGAAAGAGAATGGAAAAATTGAAATGGTACTGAGACGCATACATAATAATACATGTAAGGACAAAAAAAAATCAACCCCATACTCCACAACATGAACTAAAGATTCGGATAGATTACTTGTTACTTGGACTGCAACTCTTGAACATTAAATATGTGAAGGACATATCATATGGCGATCGCCGAAGAAACAAACAAAAAGAAAATCAAGTTTGAAACGGTACTCGATGAGAGGTATTTGTTTATGAAACTTGGTTCAAGGCCGAGAGAGATGGCTGGAAGCTTCTAACAACTTTAAAACAAGTTACTATTTTGGAAATGATTTTCAGCCATTGGTACGTTATCTATAAGTTTCACCTACATGTGGGTACGCTTCAATGGGTTTAGGCTCAAAATTCATTTTGGGTTTGCCCTAGCTACTTCTACGTGTAGCTCGCTAGTACTGCGTTTAACTCCAAAAGAATAAATATCAGACGGGAAAAAGAAAGAAACCAAATCTTAAACAAACTGTACGCACGAAAATGATTTATGTTCACATATTGGAGACGAGTTTCTTTCAAATTAACGTCTTTTTTTTTTTTTTGTTTTGGGTTTCCTTTCCTGGTTAAGCCAAGCACCTGACCTTCAAGGAGGAGAACCAGTTTTTTTCAAATTCATAACTAAATTAATGATTCTTGACTCCAAATTTATATACGTATCATCTTTGAGACTGACAACATGCTTCACGGAAGATAATTTACTTTCACAGGAATTATTTTCTTTGTTCTGGTCTGCAGTTAATGAGATAAGATTGATGCATACTATTCTGGTGGTGTAATCACTGTAGTTTCTTAATCTTATAAAAACTGTCATAACGACCAAATACGTACAGCATGCATGTAAAAAGCATAAGAAATCACGAAGGAAAAAACACATAAAAAAACTCATATCCATATCTGAAAAGAAAATGTAATTGCAGTATATATGTTCACCAAAGCCGATGCTATATATCCTACTACTGATACGGAAAATTAAAACTAAGTCTGAGTTTTAGTCCTCAAATAAAGATCAATTCTAATTCCTCAATCAAATAGACTGAAGCACATGTCGTCATCTGATTCTTCAACGATTTTCTCCTCCTTGTTGGCCTCAGCAGCAGCAGCAGCAATAGAAGCAGGACCTCCAACAGCTGCAGCCGTAGCGGCGACAGCAGCACCACCAGCAGGTACTGCTGCCATTGCCGATCTCTGTTTTCCAGCAGCAATAAGGTCAGTCAAATCCTTTCCCTTGACTTGGGACAAAAGCAACTTAATCATGTCATCATCAGCTTCAGCTCCAACTGTTAATCAAAGCAGAAAATAAATTCAACTTAGTATACGTTTGTTTGATTGTTTCTTATGCTGCTTACTTTATCGTTTTCATAATTCCTTCTTTCCAATAATTTTTAACATTAAATATTAAATTTTATCTCATAACCATCAACATAAAAGCATGTGTACATAATTTCTTTAAAAATACAGAACAATTGTCCTGCTTTAGTTACGATAATGTTATGCTATCGTGTGATAAAAATATTACTAAATCTAGCAGGCCAATAATCAAATCCAAGCTAAAACATATATGAACAAAGGGTTTATATATAATTTAAGGCTTAGGGTTTTGGGGTTAGAATAGGACTTAAGGATGATCAATGATAAAATATTTCGTAAAGCAAAAATAGAATGTCCGAACTAAGTATGAGTAATAGCAGTTCCAAAATACAAAACTAGGAATAAAGAAAAACATGCAATGCAATCAAGAAACAGAGAGAAGAAGAGAGAATACCAGAACCAAGAATGTACTTCAGATCATCAGCAGAAGGGTTGGCATTGCCTCCCAACACAGCCAACAAGCATGCTGCTATCACCTTCACCTTTTATTTTTTTCTTTATTCTTTGCTTCACAAATTATAGTCTGACCAAAGATTACTCGAAAATTATTATCAGTAAAAAAAAAAGAAGGCAGAGAAGAGTATGGGCCAGATAGTAGAGTTACAGACGAGAAACGCCTTTAGGACTTGGGAATTTATACATGTTTTTAGTTAAAATTGGAAAAGGATTAGGACTTGAGGTGCAATTGGGTCCAGTAAACTCGCAACTCAACCCAACCCGTTAATGTGGGTTTCAACTCAACCCATCCCTTAGGATTTCAACTCGGGAATCAGATTTTATGATAATTTAGCATTTTAATTGTAGACAACTTGATAATCTGTAATCCAACAAGTCTGCTGCTTTGGATCACGTAATCCAACCATGTTGACCCAAGTAATTTGGACCTGGTCCAAATCGAACCAAAATTGCACACCTAACAAGGAACAGTGAAAGTGAATTGTAAAGAAGGGTGCCAATTTCGGTTATAAGTTTGGAGTTCATTTCAGTAAGGTATACTTGGCTGCCGATGCAAGAGCATACCTAAGCATATTGGTTTATTCTGTGGAAAGATGTGCTTGGATAGGAGGACTAGATCGATGTGAATTGATGGGCAGTGACAGTTGTACCATTTTTCGTCCGCCTATATATATATTATATAATAACGTACGCAAAGAAATTTATCACATAAATAATTTTATTAAATGACACATAAAATAATTTTAAAAAAAATAACATAATTTTTTAATTATAAATTAGATAATTTTAAATTTATTCAAATATTAAAATTATTTAAATTATAATTAAAAATCAAATCAATTTAGAAATATATATTTTAAAATTAAAAATATGAAATATAGATTTTATTTTTTTAATAAATAATTTTAATTGTTTATCAAATAACCTTATTAAAAAATTATTTAATTATCAAAATCTTTCAAACATGTTTAAAAATTACAAATATTAAGTTTATTCAAATCTTTCAATAATCTTTTTTATCTTAATTTAAAAAATTATCTTTTAAAAAAATTTATGTAAGACATTAAAAATTCAAGCAATTTTATATAAGATTTTGAAATTTCAAAAAATTTTCATCTTAAATCTTTAAATAATAAAATTATCAAAATGATTATATCTATTTGAACTTTAATTATAAATTTATATTTCAAATAAATGCAAAAAAATTAATATTATCTTTATCACTTATTATATCCATTTTAAATTTTAAAAAATTAATTTAAAAATTATCTATTTAATCTTAATTGCCACTAAAAATTTTTTTTACAAATTTAATACTACAAATGTAATGTGTTATATATCAGTTTTTTTTTTCAATAATATTTTTCTAAAGTATGTTCTATTACTATTGCAATTTTTTTGTAAATTTTTTCTAAAATACATTTTTTTATTATTACAATTTCATTTTTATGAAAAATAATAATTTTTTTAATTTATTTTTTCTTTTTTCACATATTTTCTAATATTTTTCATATTTTGTATTATAATTTAGTCAAAATTACTAAAATGAAAATATGTTAATACTTCTTTTATTATTTAATATATCATTCAATAATATATATTTTATTTTTTAAAAAAGACATTTTATTTTTATTTTATATAATTTTACAGATGTATAAATATTATTATAAACAAAAATATATAAAGAAAAGACATAATTTTTTTATTGTTTTCAAAAAATTTATTTTTTAATGACAAATCATATATATTTTATATATGTTATAAATTTTAAATATTTAAATATAATTTTTAAAAAATTAATTTATATATATTTATATTAAATAAATAAAATTATTTTGTACATTATACTAATTATATTTTAGAAAACTCTATTTTAGTAGGTGTTTGCGCACTGACCCTGATTATTTCACTGGTATTTGTGAAAGAGAACGGAAAAATTGAAATGTTACTGAGACGTACACATAATACATAGTGGCGCCCTTTAAGGACAAAAAAAAAAAAGAAATTCAACCCCATAGTACTCCACAAAATGAACTAAAGATTTGAATAGATTACTTGTTACTTGGACTCCAAGTCTTGGGCATTAAATATATAAGTGAAGGACATAACATGTGGCGATGGCCGAAGAGACAAACAAAAACGAAAAAGAAGTTTGAAACGGTACTCGATTAGAGGCATTTGTTTATGGAACTTGGATGGCTGGAAGCTTCTAAAAACTTTAAAACAAGTTGCTATCTTGGAAATGATCTTTAGCTATTGGTACGTTATTAATAAGTTTCACCTACATGTGGGTAGGCTTTAATGGGTTTAGGCTCAAAATTAATTTTGGGTTTGTCCTAGCTACTTCTACGTGGGGTTAGCTAGTACTGGGTTTAGCTCCAAAAGAATAAAATCAGACGGCAAAAAGAAAGAAACCAAATCTTGAACAAACAGCAGCACACGAAAATTGTTTATGTTAACATATTGGAGACGAGTTTATTTCAAATTAACGTCTTTTTTTTTGTTGGGGTTTCCTTTTCCTGGTTACGCCAAGCACCTGAGCTTCGAGGAGGAGAGCCAGTTTTTTTTCAAATTCATAACTAAATTAATGATTCTTGACTCCAAATTTATATGCGTATCATCTTAATTTAAGACTGACAACATACTTCACCGAAGATAATATACTTTCACAGGAACTATTTTCTTTGTTCCGGCCTGCAGTTAATGAGATAAGATTGATGCATACTGTTCTGGTGGTGTAATCACTGTAGTTTCTTAATCTTAAAAACTGTCATAACGGCCAAATGCTTAAAACATGCATGTAAAAAGCTTAAGAAATCACGAAGGAAAAACACATAAAAAAACTCATATCCATGTCTGAAAAGACAATGTAATTGCAGTATATATGTTCACCAAAGTCGATGCTATCCTACTAACTGATACGGAGAAATTAAAACTAAGTCTGGGTTTTAGTCTTCAAATAAAGATCAATTCTAATTCCTCAATCAAACAGACTGAAGCACATGTCGTCATCTGATTCTTCGACGATTTTCTCCTCCTTCTTGGCCTCGGCAGCAGAAGCGACTGCTGGATCAGCAATAGCAGTAGTAGCAGGACCTTCAGCTGCTGCAGCAGTAGTGGGGACAGCAGCACCACCAGAAGGCACAGCTGCCATCGCCAATCTCTCTTTTCCAGCCGCAATAAGCTCAGTCAAATCTTTTCTCTTGACTTGGGACAAAAGCAACTTAATCTTGTCATCATCAGCTTCAGCTGCAACTGTTAATCAAAGTAGCAAATAAATTCAACTTAGTATACGTTTGTTTGATTGTTTCTTATGCTGCTTACTTTATCGTTTTCATAATTCCTTCTTTCCAATAAATTTTATATCATAACCATCAACATAAATGCATGTATGCATAATTTCTTTAAAAATGCAGAACAATTGTCCTTCTTTAATTACGAGAATGTTATGTTATCTGTTTGATACAAATATTACTAAATCTAGTAGGCTAATAATCAAATCCAAGCTAAACATATATAAACTAAGGGTTTCAATATAATTTAAGGTTTAGGGTTTTAGGGTTAGAGTTTAGGTTCCGCTTTCTAAATATAAAGCCAGGAATCAAGAGAAACATACAATGCAATCAAGAAACAAAGAGAAGAAGAAAGAATACCAGAACCAAGAATGTGCTTCAGATCATCAGCAGAAGGGTTGGCATTGCCTCCCAACACAGCCAACAAGTATGCTGCTATCACCTTCATCTTTTTTTTTTTTTTTCTTTCTTCTTTGCCTTACAAATTATAGTCTGACCAAAGATTACTCGAAAATATTTATCAGTAAGAAAAAAAGAAAGCAGAGAAGAGTATGGGCCAGATAGTAGAGTTACAGACGATAAACGGCTTTAGGACTTCGGAATTTGTACATGTTTTTAGTTAAAATTGGAAAAGGATTAGGACTTGGGGTACCATTGGGTTCGGCAAACCCGCAACTCAATTGTCGAGACTTATATTTAAGAGTTATTATCCAGTTTGATTTGAAAGTCTTACAATTTTGTTTTATAAGATCTTACAAGTTTAAGTTTTAATCTCAAATTATATATAATAACTAATTCTCATAACATTTCAATATAAAATTATATTATCACAAACTTTTCCTTTCAAATTTAACAGACAAAGCACAAAACACACATAGATTTAAAGAATCAATTTCACACTAGGAGATTTTATGATTTTATCTCAAAAAATGGATCTCACAAGTTTAGATTTTAATTATATATAATAACATATTCTAAGAATATTTTGATATAAATTAAAATATCACAAACTTTCTGGTTAAAATTTAATATTTTTGTTAAGTAGAGCACAAAACACATACAGAACCAGAGAATCAAGATCACACTAGACGTTGAGATTCTATAAGTAATTTCCATTGTGTAGCATTTAGCTTCTATCTCACTATTGATCATTTTAATACTATTTATGAAGACCTACACACCAACCTGCAATATATTGTCCAATTTGATATGAAAGTCTTAGTTTTATATTAAAAAACACCTCATAAGTATGGATTCAAATTTTGATGTGACATTGGGGTATCACTTACAGTTTGTACAGACTCGCATCCAATCTACTACACTTTGTCTATTTTGATTCGAAGGTCTATGATTTTATCTCATAAAAAACTCCTTACAAGTTTAGGTTTAAATTTTTATGACTCTATTTATTTATCATAATAAATTCTCAAAATATTTCAATATAAGATTTAAATGTCACAAATTCTCTTGTTAAAAATTGACGTTGTAGTAAAGCTTACACAAAACACACACAGAATTATAATACTGCATATACAGAATTACAAAATCAATTATAGAACTAGGATCATACTAGACATTAAAATTTTAGAGGTTATTCCCACTATATAGCACTAAGCTCTCACAATATTCTAAACGTAGTTTTCATGGTATAACACTTAGTTGCTGTTCGATAGGTGATCGACCTGATTTATTTGTAGAGATTCATTTTTAATTCACGAGATATTGTCTGTTTTGATTTAAAAATCTTATAATTTTATCCTATAAAAGACCTATCACAAATTTAAATTTAAATATCAAATTATATAGCATAACTAATCTTTAAAACCATCATAATATAAAATTGAGGTGTTACATCAACTAAATTGATTTTGATTAAACCTATATTTTGAGATTTCGATTCGGAACCAGATTTTATGATAATTTAGGATTTTAATTTTAGATTACTTGATAATCTGTCCTTAATCTAACAAGTCTGCTGCTAAAGATAAAGAGATTCAAGGAGAAGAAAAAATGAAAAAATGACAGAAATAGTTAGTTCTAAATTATATGGATCGCATAATCCAACCATGTTGACCCAAGAAATTTGGATCGGATCCAAATCCAACCCAAATCAAGCAATCCACCCTAAATTGCACACCTAACTAGGACTGTTGTAATGAAATGGCACTATGCTGGTTGTTTAGAGAGAATGGACAAGAAAATCAGACGTTTTTGACAGAAGGAAGTAGAATTTTTTTCCTCCTTTTTCTTTGGGCTAATATTGTTTATCCAATATAAATTCGATTTCATTTAAACGTAACGCCATTTATCTTTCTCGTAAAGCCGTGGAATACGATAAGTAATTGCAAAACAGAAGTCGACCATTGTGGAACTGCAAGAGGATGGACAGGCTGCTCAAAGATTTACTACAGTTTACATCCAAGTCTATCTCAAATAACTGTTACTTTTTATCAAAGAAACAATGAGGAAAGAGTCCTTTTTGCTTCTCTTTCCTCGCAATCATTGTTTAAAGGTTTCAGAAATAGAATTTTATGTAATTTTGAATATAATTTTTATATTTTTATATAATTTTTATTTTGATATGAAAAATTATATCAATTGTTATTAAAATTATATCATATACTATTAAAATAATATCAAATTTATTAAGATTACTAATATTTTTTAAAAATTATTAAATTACATCAATTATTATCAAAATTTTCTCATAAATTACAAAAACTTAATGATGGAATAATATAACCTCAAAATAAGAAGACCAACAAAATATAATTCAAAATAATATCAAACGTTTATTAAAAATTTTATCAATATCATTAATATTTTTTTAAAAGTTACCAAAATTGTTTCAATTATTGTCAAAATCTTATCATAAATTACAAAAACTCAATGATTGAATAATATAACCTAAAAATAAAAGACCAACAAAGCATATTTATTAAAATAACATGTGACACGATTTTGCTAAAATTTTAATCTTAATTTAAATATTTTAAAAAATGAGTAAAAATAAGTACAAAATATATAATTTAATGTATTTTTTTATTTGTTGTAGGATTAAATTAAATTAAATTTTTTTTTTCGGTCTACTTGTTAACTTATTATTCTATTTTTTATCTTTTTAATTTGTCATGAAATATAATTATTATATCACAATGGTTGATAAATCGTGATCTTATCATTAACAAAATCTAAACGGAAGATGAGGTTACGTACCCGATACTTTTCTTTGTTGCGCAAATTTTGAGTCTCTAAAATTATAAACATTTTCGAGCAAAACCCATTGGATTCTCTCTGACTCAAAAACACGACCATTTTCTCTGTTGAAATCTTGATAGTTTTTCAGTCTTTGACAAAAACCTGAGAAAGAGAACAACTCGATAAAGCTAAATCAAGACAGAAACGGAACAAGCCACGAAATCAACCCATTTTCTAATTTCCACTTGAATTTTATTTTTCCCTTTTATTATATAAATATAATATATATATATATATATATATATATATATAACTCCTTTTCAGCGTGGTTTTAACCACCAGCCTGTCTCTCACCTTCCCGTCGTCTCTCCTTTCCCTATTTCCATCTCCCTCTTTCTAAATCTCAATTGCTTTCTTCTTTGGTGGATTTTCTTTTCCTTCCCTTTTCGATGGCGCATTTGTGTTTCTCCTGAATTTCACAACGCACGATATTATGGCTTCTTCGAGCTCTCTCGGGAGCTCAATTCCCGCTCCAGGTATATTCTTTTTTCAACATTACCCCTTTCTAATTTCTGCGATTAATTTTCTTATAAACTGTTCTATTTTTTTTAACAGAGGCTGTTCAAGTTCTCGTCTCTTCCCTCGCAGATGAATCCCAAGTTGTCAGAGAATCCTCCATGGCTTCTCTTAAAGAAATTTCTCCACTGTACCTTCCTTTTCTTTTTCCTCAAGCAAGTTTTTATGTAAATCATTTTTTTTTTGCTCTAATTTGAATTTGATAACTGTATTAGGAATCCTCTTCTTGTTCTTGACTGTTGCTCCGCTGTTTCTCGAGGAGGCCGTAGGGTAATAATGATCTTTTTTGTTCTTTTAGAGTAGAAAAGTGGAGTGTAATTAAGATTTAAAGTTGTTGGATACTTGTTGTAGAGATTTGGTAATATGGCTGGAATTTTTCAAGTTATGGCATTTGGAGTTCGAGCTTTAGATAAAAAGGATATTGATGCTTCTTATGTTGGCAAGCTTGCTAAAATTGCCACCGCCGAGATTATCTCCTCCAAGGTATATATATTTCTTGTTTATTTTGTTGCATTAGAGTTAGCAGCATTTAAGGGAGAACTAGTTGGCACATTCTGGCCTATAGCTAAGGAATTTGGCACGAATTAGGTTGCCTTACTGGCTATTCGTTTGTTTTCTTAGTATTGAGGTTGCAATTTTGCATTGTTTCTGTTGATTTTAAATTCTTGTGGTACAATGAGGACAAAAAAAAAATGATACATGCTTTTTTGCAATTGGCAGCAGGAAATGTTGGTTTTGCTTGTTCTTATTGTTGAGTTAATGTTTGGATTGTTGGATGATCTTTTTAGGATGTATTTGGTACACAAGATTATGATAGGATATGATAAGATGGTATTATGAATAGGATTAGATTAAGTAATGTCATCCTAACTTGTATCTTGTGTTTGATGTGTGCAAGGATTAGGATAGAATAATTTATTTATTGGTCAGAATTATCCTTCCTCAAAATTTATGCAATTTAAATTATTGATGAAAATTTTTAGGGTATAATAGGACATGTAACTTCAATCCCATGGATTAAAAATGTAGAAAACTTAAGAAATAGTTGTCCTTTTTTCTTCTTATTCTTTTTAGAATGGAGTAAATCTAAATAAATAGGAACAGTGAAGTTCCTTATTATGAAACAACTTACATGTGCTAGTGTTGGAGAAACAAATCTGCACTAATGTAGGAGAATCAGATTTCTACACTCCCCCTCAAGCTGGGTTATGAATGTTAATCATACCCAGCCTGGATTTCAATCCATCAAATATGCTTTTAGGAAGAGCTTTAGTTAGTATATCTGCAATTGGAGAACTTGTAGGGATATAGGCCAGTTTGACTGACCCATTTTCTATCTTTTCCTATGAAATGCCGGTCCAACTCTATGTGCTTGGTCCTATAATGATAAACAGGATTTTTGGCGATACTTATAATAGCCTTATTGTCACAAAACAATGTCATAAATGTCACATTCTGAACTCTTAATTCTCCAAGTAATCTCATTAGCCAAATTCCTTCACAAATCCCATGGGACATGGCTCTAAACTCAGCCTCAGCACTACTCCTAGCTACAACAGCTTGCTTTTTACTTCTCCAAGTGACAAAATTGTCCCAAACATAAGTGCAATATCCAGTAGTGAACCTTTTATTTGTTACTAATCCAGCCCAGTCAACATCTGTGTACACTTTGACTACCTTGTTCATTGACTTCTTAAAGTATAGACCTTCACTGGGACTCTTTTTTAAGTAATGTAGGATGCAATGAACAACCTTGAGGTGCTCCTTGGTTGGATTATTC